ATATAGTGCCAACAGTTTGCTCAGCGCTTTACAACATAACAGGAGACAATACAGCAACAATACAGTTCAATACAAGAGGGATAGGAGGGCCCTGCTCCTTGGAGCTTACAATCTAAGAGGGAGGGGCTAGTGGTACAAAAGGTAATAACTGTGGGGGATGGACTGGTAGGATGAATAGAAGATTCCATTATTAGCTGAGGGCAGGATAGGATTCCCTGAAGAGATAGCTTTTCAGAGATCACCTAAAAGTGAGCAGAGTAGACGATAGTCTAATAAATTGGGGTAGAAAGTTCCAGAGGATGGGGGAAGCCCTGGAGAAGTCCTGGAGATGAGCATGGGAGGAGGCGACAAGGGAGCTAGAGAGCAGGAAGTCGTGCACGGAGCGGAGAGTACGATTTGGGTGATATTTGGAGACAAGATCGTTGATGTATTTTGGGGCAGAGTTATAAATGGCTTTATATGTTATTGTTAATGTTTTGAATTTTATCCGTTGGGCAATGGGAAGCCAGTGGAGGGATTGGCAGAGAGGGGTGGCAGATATGGAACAGTTAGTAAGGTGGATGAGTCTGGCAGCAGCATTCATGATAGACTGAAGAGGGGATAGCCTGCGATGAGGTAGGCCAATGAGGAGGGAGTTACAATAGTCAAGATCAGCAGTTGTTGAAATACTCAGAGCAGCCCGTCTGGAACCAACAACCATGCCACATTTAAAGTCACTTAAATCCCCTTTCTTCACCATTCTGATGCTCAGTTTGAACCTCAGCAAGTCTTCACCATGTCTACATGCCTAATTGCATTGTGTTGCTACCATGTGATTGGCTGATTAGCAATTTGTGTTATCAAGCAATTGAACAGGTGTACCTAATAAAGTGGCCGGTGAGTGTATATCAGGTCTTATGCACTTTCCTTTTAAAGGGACCCCCAGGTTAGAGCTGCACTTATTATTTTTTGTAAAACGTAAACTTAGCCTTTAAATGTGTTATTTTATCACGTTTACATTCTATCTACTATCTACACTTCATGTTTTAAAATAATGTAAAGCCCAATATAAAATTTTATAATGGCCAGTAACCATACCCTTTAGTCTGAGCTGTCTGTACAGAACAAAAAAACTGTGTGGGAGCATGCTGCTTTGGCGGGGGCTGAGTGTGTGTGCTAGGGAGAACTGTTAGCAGACAGGGAGGAAACCAAGCAGCTGAAATGATACACATTCAGTGGACACCATTAATATCTACAGATTTCTTAATAGATGTAGCACTACCCTCTTGAGGGTTGCTAAGAGAATTGGGTCCCCCTACAGTTTTGCACAGCAGGCATCACACATCTTCACAAAGACTTGCATCCAGAGTTAGAAATCAGTCCTTGAGCTTTTGTTTTGTTGTTTATTGAGGGGATTTGAACTGGGATAGGGTTAGGGGTGTATAGTTCGCCCAAGGGTACCAACAAACTGAGGACAACTTCCTGGAACAATTCACTAGCTTCTCTTTTGTAGCACAGTCTTTGTTGGAAAGCTAGCCAGCGTCTCCTTAGTGTACCACCCCAAAGCTTAGATGAAATTCTCCTCTTCAACCAGCAATCTGGAAGTTTTTTTCCTGAGCAGTGGATCCAGTTCTTGTCCCTTTAAAGAGGTGAACAGTCACTAGTAGGAGGCTAATCCGGTTTCCTACCAGAGTGCTCCTTCCCCTATCCACCCAGGGGGTGCAGGTGTACTCACTCAGATCCTCTCCTGTACTGCTTGTGGGTTGGCTGCTCCGTCCCTGCCATACAGGTGGCCCTCTCTCAGGAGGCCAGTGAGTTCCAAGCTTTGCACCTTTCCAACTCCAGGCACACAGGCAGGCCCCATCCCATTAGGCCTCCTGGCAGCCTCCTGCTCTCAGCCTCACATCTTCCTCTCTTACTCTTCCACCCGGCTCCAACACTTTTTAAGGATGTCCAACCCCTTGCCAATGTCTTGTTGAGGATTGGCCAGGACCCCTCAAAAGTGCAGCCAGACACTCCTGAGATCCACCCTCTGCCTCCAAGGCCTTCCTCCAAAAGCCCCAGAGCAGGGGGAAATTCCAGAGGCACTGGCCTTCAGAGCCTCTCAGCCCTGACCACAATTTGACCCCTCTGGCTATTACACCTGAGCTGCTATTCAGCTCCTATCTAACCATTAGGATCTAGATCACCCTAGCTAAACTAGGAGGGTGTTACATAGAGTTTAAAAAGATAATTCCTTGCACAAATAATATTGAGTATTATTATATATAGTACATACATCTCAAACACAAATTTTAAGAGGAACTGGTACTTTGCCTATTCAGGGCAAAATGACAGTATGTTAGCATAGCCCCCCTCCAGTATGTCTTTGTTACCATTCACATTTCCTTTCCCCATTGCCAGAACCCTAATAGGGTGGTGTATGGGGCAGCAAGTGACCTCCCTTACGTGCAAGTGCTTGGGCCTGAGGAGCCAATCATGAGGTTCATAATGCAAATAATGTTCCACCAGATAAGCAACATGGTGAAAATAAGAAGAAGAAGATGACAGCAGAAGAAATGGGGCCAGGGTCAAGGAAATAGCCACTAAAGGCCAGCAGTGGATCAGCAGAAGTTGATCATTGCTCTTAAGTGTTTCTGACCTACTCTATAGGTCAAGGAAGAAGGTAAGTGTATGGTACACTTATTCGGTGATGAGAAACACTATGGATTAATTTGCACGGTGAAGAAATGCGTATATTGGATTATTTAATCTTGGAGCACATTTATTTTTTTTCTCAATGTGAGTGCATACGTGAGTGCGTGGAAAATATAGTTTTTTAAAAAGAGTGCTACACTACGGTATATATTTTGCTTTTCCATGCACGGTTTTGGAGCTAAGATTCAATGAAGATATAGCACATGGAAGGAATATCACAGGCTACACAGTCCTAAAAGTGCATTTGGCCTATTATAATTTGTAGGTCAAACTTCAAAGTGAGCAGGGAGAGGAGCTACAATTCAAGCACGGTTTTGGAATTTTTGGATGATAGCACATTAGGACTCTATATGTTGGATTCGACTGATACAACTTCACATTTGATTTTTTGAGGATATTATTGTTTGTTTTTAAGGTTTATGTTTCACATTTTAGGAGTTAGAGCATCACAATTTTTGTCTAATCAATCATGAGGTTCGAACACTGTGATATGAGGAGTGCCATGACATTATTTCTTTGTTTAAAGCATAACTAAACTCAAGAACAAACATGTAATGTATTGAACAGGGGCAGATTGACAAATCATGGGGCCCCCGGGCAATAGGGGATCATAGGGCCCCTGTGTCCTTGCCCAAACTCAGAAAAGCCTATGAAAAAGGTACCAGGGGCATCTCATGGGACCCCCTACTGACCCCCGGGCCCTCAGGTAGTGCCTGAGTTTCCAAATGGTCAGTCCGCCCCTGGTATTGAAGCTTACCAGTCCTTAAATGGGGTGGCTTCACCAGTGTTCATTATTCAGGCTACGCACATTTCAGCAAGCACAGAAAATTCTTGTCACCTTCTGTGAGCTGCACTGAAGACAAAAAAAGTTTGCTTTCTCATGTAAACTACTAATCCCATTAGCCACCATGTAATGGGGACGAACAAATGCAGGCATATTAGTTTAGCCTGACTCCATGGGTAATGTGGAGGAGAAAACATAGCCACCCGGAGACAGAAAGTATTTGCAGGGTTACCAGGGGATATAAAGCAGAAAAGGCCTGCAAAAAGAACAGTAATGCAGCCACTACATCTATGGACGAGTAAGCTCCAATGTATTACAATTTTGGTTTTGGGTTTAGGCTATGCACTGATTTCCCCAGAAATGCACCTGTGACCTGCAGAAGTATAGCCAAAATAGCTTTGGCCATACTTCTCCTTTAAGTTCTGTTTTAAAGGCCAGTATTTCTCCTTTGAACAAATGCAGCAATGACAAGAACAACACACAAAACATGTACCTATAAAATTAGACCAGATAACTCTACAAAAGAAAGACTGCTTATACCGAAAAGTATAATTAAAGTGAAAACAAAAAAAAAATTCATATTCATGAGGATTCAGAATTTTCCCATTCAAATCCTTTGCTTGTTTCAAATAATTAGAGTTTGTTTGGAGCACAGCAGAGCAAAAAAAAGTAAAACAACAAGGTTCCATGACAGGTTTGGGTATATCCGACTAGCATTTGAAATATGAAAAGCGTTACCTGGATACAATGATCATCAGAAGTAAAAGATCACCCTTCCCAGGGGTCGGTCCCCCAGCTCCAAGCTTCCATCTCTGAATGGAAATGATCAATGCCACTCATCAAATATAGAGAGCTGTAATCATTTCACAAAGTTATTGTACCTGAGCGCTGAATTGTGCTGGCGCTGCTATCTCTGAACTATTCAGGACCCGCAGCGACAAAGCGATGGATAAAGAAAGAGATGAATAGGCATCCCCAGGTGGCAGGGAGATGTCACTGGTGACAGCTCCTGTGTTTTTTTCTTTTCACGCTTTCACTGCAAGTTTTGTGTTGATAATTCAAGAATAAATGGCAGTGTGTGATTAGCAGGTTTATTTCATATATGCAATTATCGTACCTGCATGGGTTCTGTAGCGAGTAATTTTAAATTGGATTGCCATGAATTCAACATTATCCCCAATTGGTGATTAAAATCAAGACTCCAGCCAAGTACAAGATAAGCACCATGTAATGCAACTATGTATTCTTTAACCACTTGACTACAGGGCACTTATACCCCTTTCCTACCCAGGCCAATTTTCAGCTTTCAGCGCTCTCACACTTTGAATGACAGTTGCATGGTCAACACTGTACCCATATGAAATTTTTATAATTTTTTTTTAGAAAGACAGAGCTTTCTTTTGGTGGTATTTAATCGCCTTTGGGTTTTTTATTTTTGCTAAGCAAAACCAAAAACAACTGAAAATGTTGGAAAAAAAATAGTTTATATTTCTTAGTTTTTGTTATAAAAAGTTTGTAAATAAATTATTTTTCTCCTTCACTGATGTGCGCTAATGAGGCTGCACTGATGAGCCCTGATAGGCTGCACTGATGGGCACTGATAGGTGGCATTGATGGGCACTGATGAGGAGGAACTGGTAGGTGACACTGATGGGCATTGACAGACATCACTGATGGGCACTGAAAGGCAGCACTCATATATGGCACTGATAGGCGGCACTGACTGGCACTGATAGGCAGAACTGACTGGCACTGTTAGGTGGCACTGACTGGCACTGTTAGGCAGCACTGATGCGCACTGATAGGTGGCACTGACTGGCACTGATAGGTGGCAGTGACTGGCACTGATAGGTGACACTGAAAGGCGGCTCAGATGAGCATTGATATGTGGCTTTGATGTGCACTGCTGGGGCTACACAATGATCGTCAGGGCACACTGGTCATCAGTGTCCTGATGATCAGTGTACATGTCCCCTCTGAGGGATGCCGATTACCGGCTCTCCTCTCAAGCTGTCAGCGTGACAGCTTGAGAGGAGAGAAATGCCGATAACCGGCATTTCCCTATTTACACGCGATCAGCTGTGATTGGACACCGCTGATCACATGACCGAGCTGACATCTTTGGCTCTTTCCATTGACTGGTGATCTGCTGTGTCTGAGGGACACAGCGCACCACCGATCGCCGTGCTGCGTGCCCCCGGAGCCACGCATGCACGGTTAGAGTGGGAGAACAACATATGACGTCCTCCCAGAAACGAGAGAACTGCCTTGTGCCCGTCATTGTCTTATATGGTGGGTGGGAGGTGGTTAAAAATGTATTTCTAAATGCAGCTGGTACAAAAACCTGAAGTCACCTTTGCATTAGCTTCCTTCAATCGCTTACAAAGCAGGAATTAAGGGCAGTTTACACTGGAACTAGCGTTTTTGTGCATTCCTGTGTGTTCCGTTTTGGACAGCCTGTTAATTTAAATAGGTTGCCAAATGCTAAGGAATGCATAAAAAGTACAGCACGCAACACTTTTAACATGTCTGCACTGAACTGTATGGTACTGTGTTACCATGCAGTCTGTTGGCCACAAATTCACTGCGTTTGTTAGATTTGTTTGGGGTGCCATTAACAAAGGCCCCCGTGTGCGTGCCCAAAAAGAGCAGTATGTTCCTGTGCTGTGCAGGAAATGCGCATGCCTTTTCTTCATGGTGTCCTGGTGTGAATGGGCCTTAGTCTGGGAGAGGGAGGGCCAGGAAAGCCAGAAGATCAGACCTTTCTGCACTGCACACTGATGTCAGTTTAACACTGAGAGAATGCTTGCAGGAGGGGAATGCACAATGTGGACTTCGTTAGGCCCTTTGCAGACAGAGCGCCCAGTTGTGTGCGTCCCTCACAGTGCACTATGACAGGCTATTACAGGCTTCAACTGGATGAGGCTGAATGGTGTACCGAGTGGTAGCGACATTTAGGGCCCCGCATGTTTAGGGACGATGCCATAGACTTTGATAGGCTGCCTGAAGCAGGGCTAGGTGCTGCATCTGTCCCTCCTGGGTGCTCTAGAATGCCAGGAGGGACACACTGTAGCTGGGTGGCCCCGTGTGTACGGGCCTTAGTGTACTGGTGTTTCTCAATTATCCAATGAGCAGGGTGGGGAGTTGACACCACTGTAATCCTTAACTGTAACAGAAAAAGTGGTGTCACCCTCCTGCCTATGCAGAGTGGCAGTGTGTGCAAATCACGAAAGTGGTATTCTGGCAGATAAAATTACAATCATGTCATTTATAAAACTACAACTAAATCTGATATGTTAAAGATAATCACAGTTTTGCTGAATTTTGATTCTGATACTCACTGCAAAAATACACTTCAGATTGCAGCCATGAATCTGACTACGCATAATTAAAATGCTGTGCTGGCCTGCAGTGCCATATGCTGTAATTGTAAGTATAAAGTTACAGTGAAGGAAAGAAGTATTTGATCCCGTGCTGATTATGAATGTTTGCCCACTCACAAAGAAATGATCAGTATAAAAACCGAATGGAAGGTGTATTGTAACACTGAGACACAGAATAGTAACAAAAAATTCAAAAGAAATACATGTCTAACAAATTATGCACTGATTTGCATAATCAATGAATACAGTTAACACTTTGAAGGTTTACATCATCATTTTCTACAGTATTCCGCCTGTAGGTCCAGGATGGTGGGCGGAGCCTTGACGCCATGGGCTCACATGAAGTGGGTTGAAAGACCCTGGGTCCCATGTAAACCTGCATCGATGCATCAGTAAGTTTTATCATATGATTTTCAGACTTTCCCCCGACTGCCAGCCCAGCATATGGATTGATATCAGCCTCAGCTACCTACACATTATGTTGCTGACTGGGTCTGTATACTTAGAATCAAACTGCTAGCACAGTAGGGTGAAAGCTTGCCCTGCTTTTAGTTTCTGGTGTACTGACACAGAGTGGGCAAGACGTCTCCTTCAGTGCAGCTACCATTGAAGTATCATTAAACTGTAATTGTAAGACGTCTCATTTAGCATATTGTGAAACAAGTGTTTGAAAATGCTGCTGGGATTGGTATTTTCAGAAATCGCACTCCGTCTTTTGAAATCAAGGAAAGCATTAAGTAACACTTTATATTGCTCTGTTTGCACAGTAGAATAATTCTGCTTTTAAAGCTCATGGAAACCTTGCATCTTTCATAAAAAGGATTTCAGTTTAGTGGGTGTTCACAGGCTGATATAAGTACTTAAGTAATGCTAAGGCCTTTACTTATAAGGGCAGGATACATTGATAATTTAGTTCGAGGTGAATGACTATGGGAATAACTCTTTACAGGTAGTAAGTCCAGTGGACGGGTAAAACTTAACTCCAGCTTGGGCATAACAGTAGAAATTTGACTTCCCAGCCACTTTAAAGAACCAAAATATTTTAAAGACAAAAAATGCAGCTCCGACTGCTTTGCTGACCTCCTCTACAACACTGTAGACTTGGCAGCTCACCAATCCAGCGATGCTCCTCTTCCAAGTTGAATAATGCACAAAATGATTTAACCCATTTTTGGAAGCCCAGGGAGTCATGGCTCCGAACTACCTCCTTAGACTTACAGTAGAATGCTGCACATCAATATATGGCGCCACTTTGCAGCATTTAGAATCCACCCACTGGCAGAGGAAGAAGAGGGTGAAGTGGCCCTTTGATGTCACCGGACCTTTATAAGATATAAATAATGATTTTATTTTAAGGCTACAGGAGTGCTCCAGTGGGATGCAGTAGGCAAAGGGAAGATTCCAGACATGGAATCAGGTTTTAAATAAATGCTAAACACAAATTCTCAAATTGCAAATGGCGAACGCTATAAAAGTGGGAGCAGCTAGCACCAGAGATAGTGACACAAATCTCAATAAACGTTATATATAAATACTAAGCACACTCTGTTTAATTTACATTATCCCATGTTTTAAATCATAAAAATATGTATTATTTGGACTTAAATATGAATTATATTTGTGTAAAAACAATGGGCGGATTATTTAGAGGAAGTTTCTGCCATTCACAGCCTGTTTCACACCCCTCCAGTCTGTGTCTACAGGTGAAGCCTCCATCAATCAATTTGTATTACCCTGTCCCCATTGTGTTTAACTATTCAGTGGGCATGAAGGAGGAGGGAGGGAGTGGGCTGTCATTTATTCATTTATGACCCTGAGGAAATCACGTGATTCGTGACACAACGCGTAGGTCGGAAATGTGGTGATGTCAGTACCGGCGTGAACGGCATCCGCCATCTTACTACACCCATGCAAGTACACCCAAACTGATACATGCGGTTTTTTAGTTTTATATCTTGTATTTGATGTATGTGGGCATTTGGCATTGTGCTGCTTATTAAATTATATTAATTACTACACTATGGAAGTGTTTCTTTTCTCCTCCCTTGGGATCGTGTGAGAGGCTGTCCGGTGCATTTTTTTTTTTTTTTTTGCTGTGAGGGAGATAACACCACTACTGCTGAGGATTGATGGTTCCTGGATTAATGCGTAAGACCTCTTTTGGATGCTGATCTGCTTAGCGCTGAGCTCCCTGAAGTGCGTTGGCCCCTTTGGGGTCGCAGCATGGAGGTGAGCAGGCAATTTAGCCAGTGGTGGATTTCTGCTCCAGTCAATCACTTTCACTATCACCCATCAAGTTTATTTGAGAATATTTAATGGACTTTACACATTGGAGTCTATTTCAGACTTTTTCACCATTTTTCACATCATTTTGACGTTTTTGTTTTTTGTGCTTATGTTTTATTTCACTGATGTTTTATTTTGCACTGATATATATCACATTGGTTTTTGGATGCATATCATTTTATTGGTTCATTCCTTGTTTTTCGTATTTGTTCACATCATTATATATTATATTTTTTTTTCTCTTCTATCTTATGCACAGTTCACTTATATCACTTTGGCACATATCTTGAGTTTAGGATGTGCTTTCCATTTATGTTGTTTCACTAATGCCAGTGCACTTGTGCTACGATTCACATGTGTCACGTTTTTGTGGGTTATTTTTAACCTCTTTCACGTTTTCTTAGTTTATTATATCTGTCTTAGCGCAGCACCATTCCCGTTTATTGCATCCTTACTATCTGCTTATATAGTCAGGTGTTAGCCACTTCGTACAGACCGTAAAATTAATATTAGAGTGGCAGCGCGGGAGGTTTTCTCTATTTTACATTTATTCAGAGTGTATTTGCCCATATGACTGATGTGAATGTACAATATATATGTAAAGCGCTGCATAAATTGACAGCACTATATAAGTACCTGAAATAAATAAATAAATAAATATGTGTGACTCTATTGTCATGTGGGCTGCACAGATAATAAAAAGGAGAATGAACAGCTTAGAAGGGAAATGAAACTGGAGCATGCTCAATAGAAGTGGCAAGTGCTGGTCTATACAATCTCAGGCTACAGCGGGGACACAGACAAGGAGGTAGGGACAGTGAATCAGGATCAGACAGGTTTTTTTCAGAATACAGAAAACAAATCATATAGTGACTGAGTGAGTATGATCAGCATGTAATACAGCATGTACAGACAGTTTTTAATAATGTGGGTTTAATGGTACTTTAAGGGATAAGGGGAAGGATTTATTTAGAGTAAAAATTTAGGTGTTTAGGTTTTAGAATGTTAAGCGTTAGGTTTCAGCATGTTAAGAGTTAATTTTAAGTGCTTATTTTCAGGGTTGGGTTAAAGTTACGTTGAGGTCAATGTTTAAGCGTTTGCGTTTAAGGTAAAGTTAAAGTATCGCTGTCATAAGAGACACAGAGGTACAGTATATGTGACAATATACTCTCAGCCTCACCCTGCACAGAGATCTTCCAGCTTGTGAAACAACAATCTAAGTGCCAGCATACTGAGAGCACTCAGTGAATTCTGCAATTAATCCTTTATACAAACAATAGTTAACACCATCTATTTTAATAAAGCATTCACTTTATCTGCTGCAACAATTCTGCTCTTTGGGAATGTCTGTGCAACTCAGTGCCATGCAAACAGGTAGGTAACAGAGTTTAAAGATTCTTCAAAGAAGAAAGAATTATTTTAGTTCTTATTTAGAGAATTATCATGATGGTTTTTAAATACTAATACGACAAGAAACATATAAAAGAAAAAGATAT